ATTTTCCTTTGTTTGTGTGTGACAGCACTTGATGTATAATCAGTTCTATTTTATCCCTAGACCAAGAGTGCTCAACCCCTGGCCTGTAGGTCAGATCTAGACCCTAGAGCCTTGTCTGGCGTGTGGGGCTCCACATGGATCTGTGGAGATTTCTGCAGGCCCTACATCAGGGGTGGGCAGTTATTTTGGCTGGAGGGCTGCTTACTGAGTTTTGGCAAGCTGTCAAGGGCTGCATGGGTATCCCCACCCCTTGCCAGGAGCCCTGCCCTCTGGTTGCCATGTTGTGACCTGAAGTCCCGCCCCCTAACCCCTGACCTTTGCCACCAGAAGTACTCCTTTCAGCAAGGGATTTTACCATTTCTGAACCAGAAAAATACCAAGTTATACTCTAAAAATCAAATATCTACAATATTCACTAATTTGATTAAAAAAATATTTAAGTCCTGATTTACATGCGTCTGTGTAGTGTACATAGAGGGGATAACTTAAAATGAAGTCTTACTCTTGTATATTGTGGGTGGCATGGGGGCATGATGGGCTGAATATAGGTTTGTGTGGGGATGGGTGTGTCTGTGGGGGGTGGATAGATGTTGGGGGTGTGGGCGTGGAGGGAGCATGCGAGTGTGTGTAGATACATGGGGTGTGGGTGGCTATGGGGCTTGTGGGGGGTGTGTGGGGAGGAGGGTGGCTGGGGGTGTGGGTGTGGGGGCTGTGTGTATGGCAGTGTGAAGCGGGGTGTGGGTGCATGTGAGACTCGCTCTACAAACACACACATACTCTATCTGTCACTTGCTCGCTCACTCGCACTCTGTCCCTCCCTCACTGCACATACACACACTTCCCTCCCTCCTGGCCCCGGGGTACCGGCACAGGCCCTGTGCTGCTGCAGTCCAGCAATGCAGCCAGGAGCCACATGGTGTCGGAGCGGCCAGCAGGCAGGAAGGAGTGGCAGAGACAGCTGGATGAGAGCGCGGGGCCCGTGCAGGTGTCCTGGGGCCCCTGCCCCCTCTCCAGAACAGCTGGTACCAGACTCTGTGCTCCTGCTGCCATGCTCTGGGCCCCGCTGGCACTGGTCCCAGGATACAGGTGTGAGCCCTGTGCTCCCGCCCAGCTGTCACTGCGCTCCCATGCACCTGCTTGCTACCACTCGCCTCTGCCTGCTGCTGCTTTCCCCACTCTCCTGCCAGCTACTGTGGCACTCTGGTACCATATGGTTCCCAGCTGCATGGCTGTGACCGCAGTTGTCAGTAAGAGCTGGCCCGGCCCCAAGAACTGGGGCGATTTGCTTACAGTCCTCCCATCTCCTCTCACACTCTTACCCGAGTTTCCCTCTCCAGCGAAGGGAGGCGTGGGGAACAGTACACTGGGATGTGCTACTTCTGCTTGGCCCGTATCAGGCTCCAACTGCCCCATGCTGCCCCTGTTCAGTCACAGTACACTGGGATTGGGCCCCATGCTTGCCCCCACATGGCTGGGATCAGGCTCTGGGGGCCCCACATTGTCCCTGTCCAGCCCCTATGTGTCAGGATTAGGCCTCATGCTGCTCACACCTGGCCAGGATTGGGCTCTGGCTGGGCAGAGGAGGTGCAGGGCCCTAGGGTCAATCCTAGCATATGAGTGGCATGGGGCCCCACCTGGCCCATGGACTTGGCCCCCTGCCATCCATGTAGCCCACAGGGCCCAAACTATGAGCACTATTTATGCCTTAATCTGTCAGTTTCCTGTGTTGCTTATATGGGTTTTTACTTGCTACTGAAGAAAGTAAAATGGTTAAGGGAAAAATAGAACAATATGACTTGTAAAGCATCACAAATTTTCAGAGGGACTGAGACAAAAATTTAATACCTGCAGTTACTTTTTAACTCCTTTGTGCAAACTGCTGGGGAACTCCCTTTTAGTCAGTGCAGAGGCAGAAAAGGATCTGGAAGTCATTATTGTTGCCAAAATGAACATGGGCTGACAGTGTGGGGACGCGGTCAAGAAGGCCAACTGCACCTTGTCATTCATCCACAGATGCATCTCAGGCAGGTCCAAGGAGGTGATCCTCCCCCTCTATGTGACACTGGTCAGGCCGCAGTTGGAGTACTGCATCCAGTTCTGGGCGCTGCACTTCAGGAGGGATGTGGACAACATGGAGAGGGTCCAGAGGAGGGCCACTTGCATGATCAGGGGGCAGCAGGGCAGGCCCTATGAGGAGAGGCTAAGGGACCTGAACCTGTTCAGCCTCCACAAGAGAAGGCTGAGGGGGGGATCTAGTGGCCATTTACAAACTAGTTAGAGGGGACCAGCAGGCACTGGGGGAGTCCCTGTTCCCCCCAGACCTACTAGGAATGACAAGAAATAACGGTCACAAGCTGGCAGAGGGTAGATTTAGACTAGATATCAGGAGGTGCTACTTCACTGTCAGGGCGGCTAGGGTCTGGAACCAACTTCCAAGAGAAGTGGTGCTGGCTCCCACCCTGGGAGTCTTTAAGAGGAGGCTGAATGAACACCTTGCTGGGTTCATTTGACCCCAGTACTTTTTCCTGCCATGGCAGGGGGTCGGACTTGATGATTTGCTCAGGTCCCTTCTGACCCTACGAGCTGTGAAACTATGACTGTATTTGAAGTCAACAGTGACCCGTTAGCACAATTCCATTGCCAGTCTTTTTGATGTTAGGAGCTGACAAGTAGGTAGTGGTAGTCTTTTATTTTAGGGTCCACAGAAAATGCATGTAGAAGATTGATAAAGCTGCAATACTGTGGAGTCTCTAATTTAAAAAAATGGATTAGTGTTTCTATAGATCAGCAGTTTATAGCTACAGACTTAAATTGACTGTTACCCTATGTTCAGCTTCTCTACTTTAGAATTCCTAAAACGTGTCTATTGAATTACTAGAGGTTTATTTTTCACTGTTAGGGTTGATCTTTACTTTTTATATGCACTCAGTAAATCATGCTATTTTTGTTTCCCTTTTAATAAGCAAAATTTATGATCTCTTGTGGTTTTTTTCTAGTTGGAGAAAATTCAGAAAGAGGGTTCTCTCCTTCAGGAGCTAGAAGATTTGGAACTGGGCTTTTAAAACTTTACAGAAAACAACTGGGATTTTTGCACAAAATCAGTGCAAAATGGAATGCATATTAACTTGAACAGAGCAAGGAATTTCTTTCAGTGACAAATAGCCAATGCAAAGGTTTACGTATTTGCTGCAGACCTCCTTTCTTAGCCCCCTTTTTTATTTGCACATTCAAAATTGTAAACAAATTATATGCAGCACATCCAGTCCTGCTACCACTCGCACCAGAACACACGCTTGTGTTCCAGGAGGACATCGCTGAAAAACCAAAACAAGCATGCTGCTTTCTTTCTTTTGTTTGTTTTTTGTTTGTTTGTGTGTTTTGAAGGAGGGAAAGGATATTGCGTACCCATTTCATAGCTTTATTAAATTTAACAGATATGTGACCTTTATGCAAAATTAGGATTGTAGACCATAATAAAGAGCATTTAACATTCAAAGAGTTTTGGGGTTTGCATTTAACATTAAAATAAGTTGTTTTGTTAGTTAGTGTTTGTTTGTTTTCTTACCAGGTAGGAAATTAAGAAATGTTATGTTGAAGCCGCTCTGCCAACTTCACCTTTTTTAAAGATGAAATAGTTTCAGATATTTCAGGTGCCTTGCGTGCCCTAGAGTCCCCATCTTTCCCGCGCAGCCGCACACCCCTGGCAAATTTGTTGTGGTTTTACAATCATATTTTCCTATACTTTTATTTTATTTTTTTTCCTTTCCTTTTCCCTTTTGCTAAGGGTTTGTGATCTGACCAAGCAAAGTTAAAATAGGTAATATGAGGAAAACACTGGAACTGCCCACACAGCAAGTGCTGCCAAATGTCAACCAAGCCCTTCAGCCTGTTTGAATAATACTAGTCCCAATTCTGCAAAGTGATTCTCTGCACAGAGATAAGAGTTTGTTCATCTGGATCAGATGTGACTTCTGGGGTTATGAATATGACCTGAATAGTAGTTTTTTTTAAAAAACTAGACATAGGTGAATATTTTTAAGATGATAGCATCCCACTAAATTATGTCAAACACAGCCAGCACCTAAGTGATCACTGGCATTTCAATGGAATAATGTTTTCCATCATTAGCAGGTAATCTCTTATTACACTTTTCTTCCTGGTTTTAAAAAAAAAAAAAATCACAATAGTGTGTTGTTGATTTTTACCATGTAAATGTATTGCCCCCCTGGCTTTGTAACAAATAATTTTGGACAAGTTTCTTATTTGCAAACAGTTTTGAGTAAAATAAGGATTTAGAGTCAAGTTTTATATTAAAGAATAAATCAAAGATTTTAATTTTGCTTCCACTGTGTCTTCCTCAGTTAATTTGACAAACAACATTTTGTTAGTTGTTATGAACATGCAGTTAGTCATTGAATCGTTTGTAAAGTTAGGCCCTGCCTATGCTTTCTCCCTGCTGAGCCCGTGACCACCTCTAAAAGTAAATTCTACCCACTCACACCTGCTTTGCAAGTGTTTAAGCCTTGGCAGCTCTGTATATTGAAGGCAGCACTCTGATCCTTCTAAGTGGTCTGTGCTGCCTGATTGCTAAGTTTGAGTATGTAAGTGGTCTGGGCTTGTTTCTTGGCTGTAGTCCCAGGCTCTGCAGGGAAGCGGTGTAGACATGGTGTTACCCTCTCTTGTCACAGTTCAAAGAGAAACAAATGAAATACTGCCAAATATATATATTAGTTTTACTTTGATTTTTGTCTTGGTTCAGAACATGTGATCTCAGCTTTTCAGTTTAGATTAAGAAAGAGCTGGTCAGATTCTGTACAAATTCTTTGTACCAAAATGTACTGCTTATTTTGGGTAACTTCCTAGTTTCTTAATGTAGCAACAAACAAGAAAAAGACAAGAGGATATAGCACGTGAAAACACATGAAGCTCAACTAATTTTTTTTTTTTATTCATCACATCCATGAAGCAGACTTGTTTTTGTTACACCATCTCTAGACTCTAGTAACTAAGGTCTGATAAATTATTTGTCTTGAGAGATCTTAAGAAGGTTCTGGTTTAATGGGAACAAGTCACATGTGTCATGCTGTATGTGAGAAAATTGCAGGTTAACCTAACAAGCAAATGGGCTTTTGTTGCCAGTACACTCCCCTGAAGTATTCAGGTAATGCATTAATGGTTTGTTTGTTTTCATTAATTTTAATAAACTCCGCGGTTACATTTCTCCTTACTGAGCAAAAACTATTTAATGTTCACTTGAGCAAATGGGGCACTTCTGAAATAAGTGTCTACACAGATTGCACTGATGTGTGAAATTTAACTTAAAACCAGTTTAGTTGGTTTTGAAGTATGTTCGCATAAAGACCAGCCTTTACAAGTTTTAAATGTTATGTTCACACTGGATCACTAGAAGTACAGGGCTTGATTCTCTATTGTCTGGCACCTTGTTTAGACACATCTGTGCAAAGTTTACCATTCTGATCTTGGTGCGTTTTATTCATTTTGCATGAGTATACATTAATTGAAATGGGAGCAGTAGGAAATCTAGAAGATGACCCAGTTTTTCCTTTATTTCAAGTGGAATTCTAATAAAAAACAATGTCTAATCCAGTGACTACAAGCAATTCAAAACCATATGTTATCACAGAAAAAGGTAATTACAATCTTAATGAAGCATTTAAGAAATAGCCATTCTGCCAGCTGATTGATTTCAGAACAGAAGTTAAAAGCAGTGTGAAGTATTAAAGCTTTCCTGAGTTCCTATTCAAATTTTCTGCAGTTCTGTCATTTTTTAAAGAGTCATTCTCCTTCTCATTACTTTGTGAAAGACCTGCCTGAGCAACATGAAAATCTAACTATAATACAGTACTGTCAAAGCCACAAAAGAAACTGGAAGCAGAATTTTTTTCCTAATCTCTCAGTTACAGTAACCTGATGTGTTAATTATAATGATATGCTTTAAAAAAACAAACACATAATTTTTAGTCTTTTTCAAGGCTACTTTCCGAGATTGGCAGGATCTCTATGGATTGGAATTATGGAAGAGCAACAGATTTATCCAGGGGCAGTGAAACAGCTGTCATTGTGGTTGTCTACTAAATATTTAGAGAAAAGTAACACAAAATAAAGAATGTTGAGCTCATGGAGTAGACACAAGCACATATAATTGTCCATAGCACCATAGGAAAGCAGATGGATCTGCCTTGGCCACGTTCCAAGACCACTGCATAACCAGTTTCCAAAGGAGCCCGTTTGGCAGCCCCAAAGCAGAAGGAAGAGAGTTAGAGGTAGAGGGTCCCTGACCGAAGTAGTATTCTCTTCCGTTAACAGTCTGAGCAAATGAAATTGGCCCAAACAGGACTGGCTGATGACAACTGACCTGTGTTAGGCACCAACCGGTGTGCAAAGCAGTTTGGATTGATTAAAGAAATAGGTTGTAATCTTCTTGGCTGTGATAACCATTGTTCAAGCCCAGAAATCACTACAAACAAGCTGAACTGTTGAGTGTTTTTATAAAGACTATTTTTTTATCCTGATTGCCTACTGAGTTTTTGGCTTGTGGAACCTTCTGCTTGTCTGCTGTTGAGGCTGTGAGAGAACCGATACTCAGTTACAGAGATTGCTATTGAGCAAGAGGGAGTTATAATAGAACATATAACTGGAAATAAGCATGTGACCAATAGAAAGCCAAAAATAAGGCTTTGTCTCTCTTGTTGGGATGAAGAGAGATCTAAGGTTAGGGAAGCATTGGTTAATTCTTGCAAATGTATTGGTGTTTGTGTCAGGGGTGTAGGTTGTAACTGTATTGATCTAAGGACATATGCAGACAAGCTTCTTTGGCTAAATCTGATATCTTTTATTAGACCAACTCAAATAGTTGGAAAAATTATTAGCAAGCTTTCAGGCACAAACGCCCCTTGTCAGGCTGAGGAATTGTCTGCAGATGGTCTGTGCTCTTCCTGGATGGAGGGGTAAAGCAGCCAGTATGTATGCAAGAAAACCAGTCAGTTAAAATATAAAATGTATTCTAAGCACTTAGAGAGTTTCAGTGTGCTGTTCGAAGAGTGGGGAGGTGATGATGAAGAGGCTCTTTGCTCCTGTTGGGGGGTATGTCCACTCAGAAGGCCAGGGTCTCTTGATAGCCTGGGGGGGAGCTTGGATGGTTGGTGGTTGGATTTGAATTGGATGAGCAGAGTGGAGCATGGGGAACAGCCTGAGGAAACTGGGACTTGGGGGACTACGGGAACAGAGACCCAAACAGACACAGTGAACAGAGTCTGGGGATGGAGGGGAAACACTGAATGAAACAATGACCAGGCGTTTTCCAGGATTGGGACCCCCTGTAAGATAATGCAGGGAGCGCATTATCAGAGTTCCGGTTAGTACACCGCAGCACTCCAATACGCGCTCAAAGATGCTGATGTTATAAAAGCCTTTGTCTGTCTGTCTGTCCGTAATGCTTTATTCATGCTCTGATTGGTTGACAAACAGCCAATCAGAGTGCAAAGCAGCATTAGGACAGGTGGCAGTGCACCTCCATGATGGCGGGGACACAGGATGGAAGGGGGGCGAGGCCAGCACAGCTGGTCTTCCCCTCCCCCTCCCCTTACTCCTTGGAGGTGATGGCGGTGTGGGGGGGAACGGAGTTGGGATGCCGTGGCGGGGAGGCCACTGGCACTGGCTTTGGCCTGTTCCCCACCCCTCCCTTGTCATCGCTGCCTGCAAGGCCAACACGGCTGCAGTGGAGAGGAGCGGGCATGCCGTGGCTGTGGCAGTGGTGGGGGAGGAGTGGGCCTAGGCCTGATGCGGGGAGGAGAGGGGGCAACCCTGAGCTGGGGGAGAAGCCGGCCCACCACGGTGGTGGGGAGCAAGCAGCGGGCCCGGCTTGATGTGGCAGTGACTGGAGGAGGGGAGGAGCGAGCTTCCTCCCCACATTGGGCCCGGGTTCTTGACAGGCAATTGGCTAGTATATATAATCAATTCACGGGGTGCAGATTTGTGTGCATATTATAAGTGTTTGGAGAATTTCAGCACCCTGTTCGTAGGGGTGGTTGAGTGAAATAAAGCATGTGGATTTACACACTAAATAGAGTTTTCTTGATGAAGTAGTAAATAAAAAATAAGAGTAAAAATAAAGATCAGAATGAAAAGAGAAAAAAATGAAAATAAAAAATGGTAAAATATTGGTATAAAAACAATTTAAAATAATTTTTAAATGCATGTAAAAATAATGAAATTAATGAAATAATACAAGTAAATTAATGAAATAGTGTCACTTTCAGCCATCTGTGCATATCAGCAAGCGATGAGCTATCGACATCACTAGTTTGTAACCGGGATTAGTGGTGGGTGGCATCTCTTGCTGCAATTTAGTACAAAGAGATCAGCAGGTTGGATTATTATGTGGTGCTCTCTGCAGTAATTTACACCTGTACACTAAGCATTTCATGAGATTTGAAATTGATGATGTGTAAACTGATAGAAAAATAAAACCCACCATTTCAATATCTAGGGCGCAGAGAATGCAACCCTGAGGGACTACACCCTGTCATGTATACACAAGCAGCTCTGGAGAGTGAACAAGCTGTTCTGTGACTCCAGTGCAACTCCATAACTGACCATTAGAGGGTACCAGAGAATGGAGAAAGTTCACTGAGACTTTACTGGGTACCACTGACAGCAGTTTTACTTGAGCTTTGACAAATTGTGCAGAGGCTAATTCCTTAAAAATAATATCTCTATCTGGCTGGGAGTGTCACAGAATGATGTTCCCTGCTCCCTTTGTGCTGCGGAGTGAAATTCAAAATTAGCTCATTTTCAACTGATATCCCTCCAAGGGCCTTTCTCAAAAATGAATGTTTTAACTTAGTTAATTATAGAAACACTATTGTTACCTAAGATATAGACTCTATAAATATGCATGTTAAAAGCAACTTCAGCACACAAGTTCAGCTTTTTTCATCAGAGCAAGCATGAATAAGTGTGTATTTAACAGTTAGTGCAGGGATGGGCAAAATACGGTTCACAGGCTGGATGCATCCCATGGAGTGATTTTGCTTGGCCCCACCAGGCAGCACTGGGGCACCCACATGTCATGCCAGCCTGCAGACACCGCTGTGCGCCTCAGGCTTGGGAAGGGGACGGGTGGCTAAGTTCCTTCCAAGCCTCCTCTGTGGGGCTCGCACTCTCCCCCTTGTCGGTGCTGCAGCTCCCCAGTGTGGCCCAGCAGTGGCTTCCAGCTCTGCCCTAGCCCTGTGCTGTCACCGCCTCAAGGTCCCATCCTGTGATTCCAGCCTTGCCTGCCCCTCCGGCTCCAGAACACCGCTGCCCAGAGCCCCATCCCACATAGAGAGTTTTGGTGAGTTGTTGTAGGGAGTGGGAGGTGCTGACCTGGCCTACAACTGCTCAGATCACCCTATGTAGTGCTCGGGCCCAAATAATTGTCCATCCTTGTGTTAGTAATTAGAGCCAGTGCCTGTAAGTCAAACGTCTGGATTAGTGGTTCCCAACCTTTTTTTCCATGCCCCATTGCTGGGAGCAGAGTGCGGGGGAGCTCTTGGCACACGACACAGCTCATCTTTTTTGTGTGGTGCCGCCAGCATTGCCCCGGCAACCCTCATTTGGGTCATGACCCAGTATTGGGAACTGCTGTTCTAAATGATGCAATGGGTGAAATTTTTGGAAAGTTTATTAAAGCTGTTTGCAAAGTTGTTAGAATACTTTGGAACCTCCAGATGAAAGGCAATAAACACATCTGCATTGCTGCAAATGCACACAATTAACTTTTGTATGTGATTGCTTGTTAAGCAGAACAACTTTGATTGGAGTACTTGTGTACATGAGTTTTCACAGGATGTGGTGCTAAGAGATGTTTTTATCCAAGAGGTTAATTTCTCTAAAAGGCCAAATCAATGTATCAGTTTCACCTTTGCTTTTTTCTGGAATGGGGACAGAGGTATAGACCATAAGATCTAAACAGGGCAAATCCTGCCATTGGAGCTATGTGAATGGGTCTGTGCTGGTTAGCAGTCCCATACCCTGTGCAAAATCCCACAGAAATCACTAGGGTCAGCTAGTATGCACGGATCAACCCAGGTGTGCAATGCCAGAATCTGACTCTTACAGTGGAAGTGTAGACAAAGCAACAGTAAGTAGGAATCAGCTTTGGAGATCTAATGATGATACTTTTCATTTTACCAATTCCAAGCCTGACAAAATCAATTTTATGTCTATTGTTGTATAGAAGAATACATTAAACTAAGGACTTGAGTGATGCAGAGAACTAGTGGCATTTTGTGAAACTGCAAAAGGAAAGCCTCCACGCTAAAGCAGGAAGGTCCATGGTGGGTACTTATAAAGCTATTTAGTGCCTTAATTTTTTGGTTTCTTTTAGAAAAGGCTGAATGATACACTTCTTATTTACTAAATGATGATTAATTTTTAATTCATAAACTTATCTCAAGTTGCATTGTGGGGCTGGAATTTAATTCAATTCAAATGCATGAAAGCAGCATTTTAAAATGGCTACTTATTAGCTGACAAACTATGTTGAGAGGACTGGAACCATGAAGGATGAAAAATAAACTGCTTTGCTTTTAAACCGGATTAAATAAAGCAGGTATATTCTGTAGTGAGGGACTACCTTTCCCTCATGTGAGAGTCAAGGATGCCATAGGGTGGCATCTCCTATTGGAGCAAGGACAAAGTTAGACCAGCTTTCCCACCTAAGCCAGCCTTTCTGGGGTCTTCCCCGGGGAGGGATGAGGACAAAGCCGTGTGGTTCAGCTCGTCTATCCGCCTCCCACCCACACCAGGCAGCCTGCCCCTCACAACTTGTTTTTTTTAAAGAAATGTTTCATGTTCCCAGCCAAATCAAGTTCAAATCCATGAGTCAGTCCAGAACCACGAGTGGCCCCACAGCCGGCAAGCGTCCTCCCCTCCCCCCGGCCTGCACACATGTCCAGCCTCTTTCGGCCCGCGTCCTACGTTGCGGGGCCAAGCCCGGAGGCTTGGGGGTCGGATGCCGCCAAGTGCCGCCCGGCCATGCGGCTGCAGGAGCAAGCTAGGCAGGGGCCTCCCATCTCCATACAACAGGCATTAAGCCCCAACCCCTCGGCGGGCACTAAACCGCGCCACAGGAGCGCTTCAGCACACCTGCCCTCACCGACCCAGACACAGACTGGCGCTGCCGGGTCTCCCGGGGCGTTTCCTGCGCGGCGGAGCCCGTCCGTGCGGGCCTCCCCCTCCCGGGCACCAGGAGCAGCGCGGCGGAAGGCGGCCCGGCCCAGCCCAGCCCCGGCGGTGCACACCAGGCACTTCCGGCCGGGTCCGGCGCGCGG